CCGTACGAGTGAATGAAAATAAGGCACTGTGAAAAAACGGGTCCGGTAAAACAAGCCCGCAGCGCCTATACGGGAGTCCCCGATTTCGGTCACACTTATCGGCGCTGCGTGGGCCTTGCTACATTCAATATGGATGGCATTCATTCTGACAACCTCCTGCATTTAGATCTAGATACTAATCTGATCGCCTTGTCTTTATCTCGCAATCAGATATATTGTACCTAGGCGAGAGAATGAGTCTGATGTTTGCGCTGCTCTTTCTCATTTGAAAAAAAAACTTTGCAGTTGCAGATCGTCGAACACCTCAACCAACTTAATCGTCAACGTCAACTCAAACATCTGTTTAAATTATATCTATCCTTTCCCTTTTCTTTGTCGTCCATCCCCAAAGCCACAAGACAGTGTAAACTTTAATTCCTGAAATTATTCTATTTCACTGGAGAAATAGTCTCCTTTGTAGATGTATTGAGTATTGGTCTCCAAATATACAACCTGGTCTAGATCTAGTATCAGTAATTCTAACTAGCCAGACATGGAAGAAAGTGGCTATTCTCACCCGCCCGGAAGTTCTCGCAAGATCAACTCCTCCCCTCTCCTCTCTCTCTCTCTGTCTCTTTCTGAATACTGTCTATCGGTGTTGACGATCAAATTGACCAAAACAAAGTTAAAAAATGATGTTAAAACACAAAAGTAAATAAATTTGGTTGTCTACAAAGATGCTACTGCTATTTAACTTTTCGAATCGAGCCGAACTACGTGGGTCGCCATTTTGTTATGCCCGGAAATTCTCGCACTACTCCTCTCTCTCTTTCTCTCTCTCTCCACTGCCCACAGACAAAATTGTACGCTTTTAGTATTAGTAGGCTACAATTGTAATGGAACGTTTGTTCACGGCACAGAATTCAACAATTTTTCTGTTATCACAGTGTAGAATTCTGTAGTTTAGGGTGAACGCAAAATTTGGTGAACGTGCACCGGGTGAGAATAGCCACAAGACTCGCCTGCACTATTCTCACTCCGGGTGAGAATAGAGGTGGCCGACATGGAAATGGAAAATAATCTGAATTCTGAATCAATGAGATGGCAGATCAAATTTTAGAATTAAAATGCACATTGAGACACTGAAAAACCTGCAAACACTGCGTTTGCACCAAATATTAACCTAATAAAATCCCAAGTCATTGTATCAAAATCAGACTACAAAAATTGCAGACGACCCTTTACCTAAAGCCAGCGAACAACTGCGTCAACAGTGAAGTCGATGTCCGACGAACTTCCAGCAAGACGGAAGTAAACGTAGCAATGTTTATTGTTTACAAATGGTCAAATAGTATCGATACCAATTTTTACACTGTAAAGATCGTAGTGTACAATTTTTGTTTCCAGTTACGAATACCTCTTTCGCGGAATTTTTCTTTTCTTTTTTAAACTGCGGATGCGGAGAATGAATGATCTCCGAGACGAGCATAATTTATGCACGTCTCGATGATCACCCTTCCTTTCGGTCTCACTCTCTTCTGTCTCCCCCTCTCTCCTCTCTCTCTCTCTCTCTCTCTCTCTCTCTCTCTCTCTCTCTCTGCCCCCCTGTCTTTCGCTCGTCTTTTAGCCTAGTAGAGTTATCTCATTTTAAAACTAGATCTAGTGCCTAGTGCCTGATATATATAAATCTATGAGTTCTGATTATTGCTGTTTCGAACCAACTAGGACGAGACGGAATTGTGATTTCTCTGAATCTTGATATGTGGTCTCAAACGTACAAAGCAAATCCAGACGTTGACAACCCATCAGAAAATGAAGTTAAAGTAAATAATATGGCCTGATATTATACCACAATTTGTCTTTCATTAATTTAATTTCCTTTCATAAGGAACAGTCAGTATTGGGGGCAGAACGATTAATAATTTACGTTTTGCAGACGACACAGACGGCCTTGCGGGACAAGAGCAAGAACTGGTCAGCTTAATAGACCGTCTTGAAAAGACCTCCACAGTCTACAGCATGGAAATCAGCTCTGAGAAGACCGAACTGATGTCAAACAACAACAAGAACATCACAGTGGACATCCAGGTCAACAACCAGAGGCTTGAGACTGTACGCAGCTTCAAATACCTGGATGCAATAGTGACCATAAATAATCTTCCGAATAGCGCAAACTTCAACAACATTGATCAAGTGAAAACCATATGGAATGACGGAAATATCACCATCAGATCAAAGATCAGACTGATGCGTTCTCAGGTCATGTCAGTATATTTTTTATGCATGTGAATCCTGGACCTTGAATGCAGACCTTGGAAGACGGACCAAAGCTATGGAGATAAATGCTTCAGAAAAATCATTGGTGTCTCATACAAAGATCACATCACAAATGATGAATTCAGGCAACGGATCAAAAATGAAATTGGACCACATGCTGACCTTTTCACCCTTGTCAGGAAACACAAACTGCAATGGTATGGACACATCACCCGTTCATCTGGCCTTGCCAAGATGATCAAGCAAGGCAGCGTCCTGGGAAAAATAGGAGCAGAGGCAGCAAGGAATGGACAGGCCTGGAACTCAAAGACACACTCAGAAAAGCTGAAGACCGGAAGGAGTGGATAAAGCTGGTAGCCAAATCTTCAAAAGCACCCCGACGGACATCCAGTCTACGGGGTAGGTGAAGGTGAAGGTGGATTTCATTTAGTTTATGCCTGTCTTACCTGTCTTACCTGTCTTACGTGTCCTGGGCAAAACGTCATTGCACACCGGACAGGTCGAATAAGTGCTCAGTTCCCCCCAGCACTAAAGCACGCAAAGTATCCATACTGATTGTTCCGGTGGCAGTCTGATTATTATGGTGACGTCTTTCCTTTCCAGATAATCGTTCCTTTCTTCCTTCTCCCCTCTCTATCCCCATTTCCCTCATCCTAATGATTTCGTGGTGTTCTGCTGTCTCCCTGTCTTCTTCATCCCGTAACTTTTCCCCAGGGGTCTTCAACGTACTTCTCCTTTGTCAAACTTCACCTCACCATCGTCCATCAGCCACGACACTGCCTGCCAGCCTCATTGCCCTTCACTCCAGAGTGCCCAGGACATAATATCCACGTGATAGCTCTAAGTGATGAGTTTTGTATTGGGTTCACCCATTCGCCCCGAAGCAGCCCTTTTTCAACCCTTGGCAGGATGATCTGGGAGTCTGTGACGAGATGGGTAGTTCTTGGTCTTTTATTTTGAAGCCAGCCAAACGCTCTGGCGCTCTTGTTACGGCCTTAATCTCCATCTTCATTTTCATGGAGATTAGTTTATGCACTGATAATAAACGATTCATGCATCTACTGTATAAAGGATCCGAGAAGGCTACACACTCTACATGATTAAATTGCACCTGACAAAAGGCTGATTCTCATCACAATTAAGGTCTTGCTCTCTTCCAAGATTTAGAATATCTTCCAAAATTTAAAAATGGCTTACACGAATGTACACGGTCTCTTGATTGACTTGGTCAAAAATATTATTGGTCTAGAGATCTGAGCATAGTTCAAGTCCGATTTGTAAAAAAATTATGCATGCTTTGCAGAGTTAACACCTGAGCTTGTAATGTGAAATTGATTCTCGCCTTTTGTATACCCCCCCCCACAAAAAAAATAAATAAAAAAAATCCCACCTTCACTGCACCTATGTTTAAAAAAACAACCTGTTGACACAAAATGTCAATGTTTTCTGTTAGGTAAACACTTAACATTTCCACATCTACCGTTTTTCGAATCTATCTTTTGTGCACCTTTTTATTTTTGACGTTGAGATGCTTTCTTAAAAAAAAAAGAAACAGATTATAAAACAAGGCCTGCTAGGTATCATCCAAAACCCAACCCATAAATGTCATGCCTTTGTTAAAATTTGCATTTCAAACAACGAACTGATGGTTCATGTAATCATATTACTTATTTTGTGGAATGTTGTGTCGAATAGACGAATTCGAACGAAGTGTTCACTGCAAGGAAACTGAGCAAAAGCCGTTTTAGGAGAGGTTTTGTGTCGAGATTCTACTGGAACACGTACCCCCCTCCCCCCACCATTTCTCTTCACTCAAACTACACTGTTTGCAACTTTCAAAGCATATTGGTCCTGGTAACCCAATTACCCCCCCCCAACCCTTAAATAGAAATACACCACATGTTCTCTCTCTCTCTTTCTTAAAGATCACTCTTTTTCTTCCAAGCTTATCTCTTTCAGTCTGACCTTTTGTTATTAAAAAATGAAGCCCGTAAGTCTGTACTGTCATCTATTTGCATGTACGCTGAACAACAATTTGCCCATTGTTTGCAAGTCCGCTTGTCGGTCCAAAAGTCAGTATGTTTTTGTGGTCGAAGCTGTGCTTAAGAGATAATTCATCTTTCTGTTTGCATTTGCCTCTTCGCGTTTGCTCGCTTGTCTACTGGTTCGTGCGTCTGTTTGTTAGTTTATTTGTTTGTGTGTGTGTATGTGTGTGTATGTGAGCGGCCGCGCGCTTGTGTGTGTGTGTGTGTGTGTGTGTGTGT